ACCCACAATGGATTTGAAATGAAACAAACAGGATGTGCTTCAACTGCAGACTGTCAGCTTTAATTTGAGGGTATTTACATCCAAATCAGGTGAACGGTGTAGGAATTACAACAGTTTGCATATGTGCCTCCCACTTGTTAAGAGACCAAAAGTAATGGGACAATTGGCTTCTCAGCTGTTCCATGGGCAGGTGTGTGTTATTCCCTCATTATCCCAATTCCAATGAGTAGATAAAAGGTCCAGAGTTAATTTCAAGTGTGCTATTTGCATTTGGAATCTGTTGCTGTCAACTCTCAAGCTGAGATCCAAAGAGCTGTCACTATCAGTGAAGCAAGCCATCATTAGGCTGAAAAAAACAAAACAAACCCATCAGAGAGATAGCAAAAACATTAGGCGTGGCCAAAACAACTGTTTGGAACATTCTTAAAAAGAAGGAACGCACCGGTGAGCTCAACAACACCAAAAGACCCGGAAGACCATGGAAAACAACTGTGGTGGATGACCGAAGAATTCTTTCCCTGGTGAAGAAAACACCCTTCACAACAGTTGGCCAGATCAAGAACACTCTCCAGGAGGTAGGCGTATGTGTGTCAAAGTCAACAATCAAGAGAAGACTCCACCAGAGTGAATACAGAGGGTTCACCACAAGATATAAACCATTGGTGAGCCTCAAAAACAGGAAGGCCAGATTAGAGTTTGCCAAACGACATCTAAAAAAGCCTTCACAGTTCTGGAACAACATCCTATGGACAGATGAGACCAAGATCAACTTGTACCAGAGTGATGGGAAGAGAAGAGTATGGAGAAGGAAAGGAACTGCTCATGATCCTAAACATACCACCTCATCAGTGAAGCATGGTGGTGGTAGTGTCATGGCGTGGGCATGTATGGCTGCCAATGGAACTGGTTCTCTTGTATTAATTGATGATGTGACTGCTGACAAAAGCAGCAGGATGAATTCTGAAGTGTTTCGGGCAATATTATCTGCTCTTATTCAGCCAAATGCTTCACAACTCATTGGACGCCGCTTCACAGTGCAGATGGACAATGACCCAAAGCATACTGCAAAAGCAACCAAAGAGTTTTTTAAGGGAAAGAAGTGGAATGTTATGCAATGGCCAAGTCAATCACCTGACCTGAATCCGATTGAGCATGCATTTCACTTGCTGAAGACAAAACTGAAGGGAAAATGCCCCAAGAACAAGCAGGAACTGAAGACAGTTGCAGTAGAGGCCTGGCAGAGCATCACCAGGGATGAAACCCAGCGTCTGGTGATGTCTATGCGTTCCAGACTTCAGGCTGTAATTGAGTGCAAAGGATTTGCAACCAAGTATTAAAAAGTGAAAGTTTGATTTATGATTTTTATTCTGTCCCATTACTTTTGGTCCCTTAACAAGTGGGAGGCACATATGCAAACTGTTGTAATTCCTACACCGTTCACCTGATTTGGATGTAAATACCCTCAAATTAAAGCTGACAGTCTGCAGTTAAAGCACATCTTGTTCGTTTAATTTCAAATCCATTGTGGTGGTGTATAGAGCCAAAAATGTTAGAATTGTGTCGACGTCCCAATATTTTAAAATTATGGACAGTCTTGAGGCACCCCATTCTAAAATGTGCAAAACTATTCTAATAGTATATTATAATGCAGCAACATCCACACATGTAGGACACCCAACATTAGAGGTGAATTATTCTTCCAAAGCAAATACACTTTTGCACACTGGCACTGACTAGTATTCCAATGTTTCTCTTCTCCCTCAGTTTTTCTCCATCACTGAGCTAATGTGACCCCAGCCTGATGGAGAGGGTCAAGGGGGGGTCAGACTAGGATGCTGTGCAGGCAGCTGACATCCTCCTTATCAACTGAAGACATAATTGGCTGTCAGGATGCTGGTGGCTAGAAGTTCATAATAGTGCACAATGAAAACCTGTGGCTTTGTGTAAATAAAAGGTAGGCTTTTTCCACCTGCTGGCTTGTTTTGGGCAGTTTTTATAAGGTACCCCAGGGTGCGACATAATATACTACAGAATGATTAGTCTTTATGTTTTGGCAATGAGTGGGGCGGTCTGAATAGTTTGGCAAAACTGGGAAGAGCTGACACCACTCAGTCCACAAAATGCTGTGTGTTGTCAGCCCACAACAGGACTTGAGAGGTGAGTGCATTTTGTAAAAGAAAACCAAACATGTTATACTAACCTGCTCTATGCAATGGTTTTGTACAGAGCAGCCCTGAACCTCTTCTTCTTGGGTCCCCCACTGGCACTCCTCGCCCCTTCCCCCTGCTGAGTGAGTTGCTTGGATGGAGGGTGGGGGCTGCCTGAGCTAACAGGTGATTGGTTGCTAGGATGCAAGGCAGTCCTAGCAACCGATCACCAGCTTGCAGCTTCTGCTCTCTGTCCAAATTTGCTGTACCTCCTGCACTCCTCCCTGTCTGTGTAAGGTATTTGGGGACTAAGGAAAGTAATGAGGGGGTTCAGGACAGTAATGGGGGGGATCGGGACAGTAATGGGGGGACTAAGGACAGTAATGGGGGGACTGAGGACAATAATGGAGGAGCTGAGAACGGTAACAAGCGAGCACTTAGGACAGTAGTGGAGGGCTGAGGACAGTAATGGGGAAGGGGGTGAGGATAATAATGGAGGGGCTGAGGACAGTAATGGGCGGCTCAGTACAGTTAAGGGGGGGACTCAGGACAGTAATGGGGGGACTGAGGACAGTATTGAGGGGCTGAAGACAGTAATGAGGGTGTTCAGGACAGTAATGGGGGGATCAGGACAGTAATTGGGGGCTGAGGACAGTAATGGAGGGACTGAGGACAGTAATAGACGAGAGCTTATGACAGTAATGGGGCAGGGGGTTCAGGACAGTAATGGGGGGATCAGAACAGTAATATGGGGACTAAGGACAATAATGGGTGCTGAATAAAGTAAAGGGGGTCTAAGGACAGTAATGGAGGGGCTGAGAACAGTAATGGAGGGCTCAGAACAGTTAAGGGGGAAATCAGGACAGTAATAGGGGAGAATGAGGACAGTAATGGGGGGCTGAGGACAATAACGGGGGGCTAAGGACATTAATGAGGTCACTGAGGACAGTAATGGTGGGAGTACAGAAATGTGAGGGGGGTGGAGGACAGTAATGTAAGGGGGGGTTGAGGACAGTAATATAAGGGGGGGGGGGGGGGTGAAGACAGTAATGTGCGGGGGGTTGAGAACAATAATGTGAGGGGGGACTGAGGACAGTAATGGTGGGAGTACAGAAATGTGAGGGGGGTTGAGGACAGTAATGTAAGGGGGGGTTGAGGACAGTAATATAAGGGGGGGGGGGTGAAGACAGTAATGTGCAGGGGGTTGAGAACAATAATGTGAGGGGGGACTGAGGACAGTAATGGTGGGAGTACACTAATGTGAGGGGGGTTGAGGACAGTAATGTAAGGGGGGGTTGAGGACAGTAATATAACGGGGGGGGGGGGGTGAAGACAGTAATGTGCGGGGGGTTGAGAACAATAATGTGAGGGGGGACTGAGGACAGTAATGGCGGGAGTACAGTAATGTGAGGGGGGTTGAGGACAGTAATGTAAGGGGGAGGTTGAGGACAATAATGTGAGGGGGGACTGAGGACAGTAATGGTGGGAGTACAGTAATGTGAGGGGGGTTGAGGACAGTAATGTAAGGGGGAGGTTGAGGACAATAATGTGAGGGGGGACTGAGGACAGTAATGTAAGGGAGGCTGAGGACAGTAATGTGAGAGGGGGCTAGGGACAGTAATGGGGGGGGGCTGCTGTTGATGAAGCTGCAGTGTGTTTGGCCCCCAAAATACATTGGCTTTATTCTGCTGTGAATACATTTTCTCATCAAATGACCTTGGACTCTTGGATGTTTGTTTGACGCTTTCATTGAATAGTTGGATTGGATAAGTTTGTGGTTTCTTAACTCTAGGTCGGTTTCCTGTTCAAAATGGTAGTCCACATTTTGTTGAGTGCTGCCGAACCAGAACCAGTGTGCCCAGTGACAATTCCAGTGACCCTTAAATGATCTAAATCTAGCACCCTGTTTTGTTCTCGTGTTTGGTCTCTATTGTCTTCCTCTCTCATGAATGACATACTGGACTTTGTAATTCTTGACTCTTTCATCTATCTCCATTGTCAATATCTTATACTAGCCATTTTAGCCTTTCTTTGGCTTTAAAAAAGCATTTATCATAGCCAGTTAAATTCATCATTTCACCTTTCCCATCACATTCTCACCATCTCATCCGTTTCTTGTCACATGTCCAGTTCACAAATTTATCTCTTCCTCTTATTTTTCACCTTTCCATAGTCTTTCACTAATAAATGTATTATCTAAGACATCATGTATCTCTATAATTTAATTTTAAAAATGCATTTTTTTACATTTCCTTTTATGGTTTGGTTGTCTCACCCATTCTACACATCTATTACGTCTTAGCACAACACTTAGCATGATCATCTGCATGTGACCCATCCCAAATCTGATTTCTATGGCCTTCCATTTCTCCTCTTGATGATTTTGGCCTTCATGTACTTACATTTTTTTTTTTTGCTTGCCAAGTTTAATGTGTCCAACATCTGATACCTCCTAGCCATTACGTACATACCATCTCCATGTCATCCTTTAAATCTAATTTTCCTTTATATCATACATTGTTCTTCATTTGTACACTCTAAATTATTTTAATTTTAAAACTGCAGCACATTTTCAATCTTCTAATAATGCTATACTCTGTGTCTTCCCAGGCTGTTTATATGATCTGAGGTGAAACAAAAGGATAAAACCAATCCACTTCTCAAGGAGGGGGTAGTATATTTATCCAGAAAAAATGTTTAGTAGCACCGCAATCGTTATAGAGTTGGGATGTTATTCAAGGTTCATGTAGTGCCAACACATGTTGGTATCTATCTTAGCTATACTGACAGCTTAAAGTGCTACTAAACCCAGGCCCCTGCATTCACTATATCTGGTCTCCCACAGTACACACAACATGTAATTGCAATTATTTTAGTAAATATAAACTGCTAAATACCTTTTCTCATCAGCAGTTAGAGCAGTCTTGTGACTTCTATCAGTGTCCAGTTGAGCACTGAATAAAATGCTTGTAGGAGGAGTTTTCTCTAGGAGGATGTAGAACTTCTGACCTCTGTCTGGACAGTGCTGATTGGCCCTGTACTGATCACATGCACTCTCCCAAGACAAAAAAAAAAAACCTCTCTAGCAATACACACCAAATTGAGCATGTGCAGTGTCTCCACGTGATATGTCTTATCAGGAGATAAGAGGGAGACACTGGAAGAAAGGGAGGATCAGAGAAAACAGGATCAAACATCTTTTTTACACAATGCATGGGATTAAACCCTTACAGTCCACAGTGAGTATAATAAGCATGCTTTACTGCATATACAGACTGATTTTACTGTTGGGTTTAGTAACACTTTAAAAATTTCTGTACTGTCCACATAGAATTGTCACATTTACCTTGCATAGCATTTTCAGGTTTCTTAGTTGCCATTCCCAGTGTTACCCTTTCTGCTTCAGCTCATAGTTACTTTTTTTTTTGACAGCCCTGAAGAAGGGGAATCCGACATTTGCTGGTACTCCTAAAACCTGATATAGAATAGTCTTTTAGACATAAACACTGCCTATGTGCTTGCTTTTATTTTGTTTGACCTCATGTATACAAGGAGCTGTGATATCCTTCTGTTGTCAAGCCAGCATTCTACTATTTCTACTTGATACAGACTATAGCCAGCACCCATGAACAGCTCACTTCTCCTGTATTTTTGTATATATGAGCTGACACCCTTGAAAACTGCCTCCTGCAGGAATGCTTTCTTATTTCATTCAGCTTTTCATTCAGTACCTTTTATTGTACACTCAGTCCAGTCTTTATAACTACAATCAGAATTTTAGACTTTCCAGTTCTCTCTAAATTTACTGGTGATATTCTTTCTGAATGAAGCTCTCCTTCAGTGGTCACAAAGAACTGCCAATCCTGTAAATGCCAATAGGAAGAACTACCATCTTTTAATTCTTCTTATGTTTTTAATGTTTTGTGTTTCCATGATCTTGATCTGGGTTTATCACCCAGGGTTCCATAGAACTCTAGGATTCATCCAGAGGTTGCTAGGAGTTCCATGAGCAAGGAGCAATGTCTGCTTCTCAGTTAAGTTCCCACTGACAACACTGATCTTTTTAGCTATTTGTAAGGGGTAATTCTTTCCAATGACCCTAAGTGTAAGTAGCATTCTTCCCACTGACCCTCATACTAATGTATTATGAGTTGTAGATATAGTAATTTTTATCAGGGGTTGCCTGAGACCAGAAAGTTATTTCAACAGTTCCTCCATCTTGAAAAGGTTGAGAAAAGCTGGCCTAGTTTATGGCGCTGAAAGGCTAGCTAAAGTTCCACTGTAGTCTGGAAGAGGTATCCACCTTTCTTCTACTGGGGCCTGGGTGAAGTATTCATTTTACCTTCCACTATGATCAGGATGAGGTGTCCAGCTCACCTTACAGTGTGGTCTGGATGAAGCACACACCTTACTGTGGTCTGGATGAGATATCCAACTCACCTTTCATTGTGGCCTTGATGAGGTATCCACCCTAGCTTTCACTGTGGTCTTGATGAAGTATCCACCTCACGTTAGTCTGGGTGGGGAAAACACATTTTCTCTTTCAGAAATTATTATTCACGCATCAATTTAACATTATAGAGACTCCTAAACTAGAGAATGACAAGTTCACTTGGCCATTGTAAAGTCAGGGACAACATGGAAGTCTGACTAGGAGATGCAACTCATCAGCATCAATTTAGAACCTGAATATTAGTTTTAGGTGGACCTGGCCTTTCTGATGTGATCCACAAGAGTTAATTTCCTAAAGTTGGCTTCATGTACATTAGTCCCCCCACCATCCACCTCTGCCCCTCTCATTTTTCTAATGCTTTTCTCGTGAACAGCCCATGTCAAACTCTTTATGAGATTCAGACCTGGTTTCATATTTCACTGAAACTTCTATAAGAAAAGCCACTTTTTCATGCTTAAGTCCTTTTCAAATCCCTTCAAACCAGTCACCATCCATTCTGCATTTTATCTTTTTCTCTCTGGCCAAGGGCCAAACATAATCCTTCTCCTCTCCTTACGCTTCTTAAGGAAAACACAAGCCCTCATTTACCCGTGGATCCCGTCTAAGAATAAAAGCTTAATACCTTGACAGGCCTGGATATTATTTTGGGTCCTAAGTCTGATTTATGGTGGTAGCCAGCAAGCCCGGCTGGTGAAATATTTGCTGCTGCTCGCAAGGATCTGGAAAAAATGAAGTGTGAGGTTCTGAGTAGAGCAGGCAGCAGTCTTCTAGTCACTAAACACTTCTAAGGAGTTGGCAGGGGAACAGAGCTGTGGTTTGAAACCAGGAGCCTCAAAGGAATACGGGAGGAGTGCTGTACTGTGAGAAGCGACAAAATATTGCCTGGGCTTTAACGCCGCCCTCCAAGCCTGTGATCCAGACATGAAACTGAACATGTTGTTGTGGCATTCTTGACTATGGAAGCATGACGACACAGCTTCCAGCTGGAAGAGAGTTTACAAGAATGATTAAGGTAATGGGAACAGGTTGATTAAGATCAGGTTTATGATGATTTCTTTTTTTGGATAGATGTTTCTTTTGTTGATATTTTATAGATAGCAAATATAAATAGATTGGGACATCCGTTTTATAGCAATGGAACTGATTTGAAAATTAAACCTGCATGTCATTTAGCATATTACAATATTACATAAAACACAGAATACTATACCACCACCATGTCCTGACCACCAGATATCTTTACAGACAGAAAACATTAAATCTACAACATGACTGGCCATTGGAAATGATCATATTACCATTCTGTTTTTTATACCAAATGTGTTATACCAACATAAAACACTACATCTATACAATCTGACCGACCACTGGACACAATTATAGCACAATTATACAATTTGTACTAACATAAAATACCAACCACTGGAAAAGATCATAGTATAATCTATTACATGTTATACCGACATAAAACATTACAGTGCATCTACTACTTGACCGACCATGGAAAATGATCATTACCATTCTGTTAAATTGTATATCAACATAAAACACTAAATCTATACAACAAGACCGACCACTGGACAAAAATATAACACAATTATTTTACAAGGTATACTAGCATAAAAACACCAACCACTGGAATTAGTCATAGTATAATCTATAATAATAAATGGTCAAAGTATAACTAAAATAATAGTTACATGCTATACTGAAATAAAAGATTACATCTACTACATGACCAGGGGTGGACTGACCATTTGGAAACTTGGGCACTGCCCGAGGGCCCGGGGTCAGTAGGGGGCCCCATGAGATGTCACTGGAGCTCAGTGAATTCAAGCGTGGTAGCCACCTGTGCAATAAGTCCATCCATGAAATTTCCTTGCTACTGAATATTCCATGGTCAACTGTTAATGGTATTATAACAAAGTGGAAGCAACTGGGAACAACAGCAACACAGCCACAAAATGGTAGGCCACGTAAAATGACAGAGCAGGGTCAGCCCATGCTGAAGCACACAGTGCGTAGATGTCACCAACTGTCTGCAGAGTCAATAGCTAAAGACCTCCAAACTTAATTCGGCCTTCAGATTAGCACAACAGCAGTGTGTAGAGAGCTTCATGGAATGAGTTTCCATGGCCAAGCAGCTGCATCTAAGCCTTACATCACCAAGTGCAATACAAAGCATCGAATGCAGTGGTGTAAAGCACGTCAGCACTGGACTCTAGAGCAATGGAGACATGTTCTCTGGAGTGACGAATCACGCTTCTCTGTTTGGCAATCTGATAGATGTGTCTGGATTTGGCAGATGCCAGGAGAACGGTACCTGCCTGACTGCATTGTGCCAAGTGTAAAGTTTAGTGGAGGGGGATTATGGTGTGGGGTTGTTTTTCAGGGGTTAGGCTTGGTTGCAGTAAAGAGAACTCTTAAGGCGTCAGCATACCAAGACATTTTGTACAATGTCTTGGTATCATGGTATTTCATCATGGTATTTCATGCTCCCAACTGTATGAACAATTTAGGGATGGCCCCTTCCTGTTCCAAAATGACTGCACACCAGTGTACAAAGCAAGGTCCATAAAGACATGGATGAGCGAGTTTGGGGTGGAGGAACTTGACTGGCTTGCAAAGTGTCCTGACCACAACCTGATAGAACACCTTTGGGATGAATTAGAGCGGAGACTGCAAGCCAGGCCTTCTTGTCCGACATCAGTGCCTGACCGCACAAATGCGCTTCTGGAAGAATGGTCAAACATTTCCATAGACACTCCTAAACCTTGTGGACAGTCTTCCTAGAAGAGTTGAAGCTGTTATAGCTGCAAATGGTGCGGGCCAACTCAATATTGAACCCTACAGACTAAGACTGGGATGCCATTAAAGTTCATGTGCACGTAAAGGCAGGCATCCCAATACTTTTGGCAATATAGTGTACAACATGACCAACCACTGGACTTGATCATAATACAATTCTGTTGCATGTTATGAGGACATAAAACACCACTTCTACACCATAGCACATGTTTTTAGCCCATAGCAAGACCATGTCAAGGATAAGGGTTTAAAAAAGAAAATCTGTAACCCTTGAAAGCTATTTAAAGCCAAGTGCACCCTGAAAAAAAAACAAAAGACCTTAAAGTGACCATGACCCTTCATCCACTATATCAGGTTTTCCATAGTACACAGAACATGGAAATGCAATTATTTTAGTAAATACAAACTCCTAAATACCTTTTCTCATCAGCAGTATATAGCAGTCTTGTGACTTCTATCAGTGTCCGGCTGAGCACTGAGTTAATCTTGTAGGAGGGGTTTTCATTCTCCTATGACTGTCCTATGAGGTTGCAAGACCCCTGACCTTCTTCTGGCCAGTGTTTATTGGCCCTGTGTCTATCACTTGCACCTCCTCCCCCCTCCCCCCTCCCCCCGAAAAAAGTGACTCCTAGAGCTCTGTATTCAGCAGATGGATTGGGGACTGTGGAAGAAGAGGAGGATCAGAGCGGACAGGATAAAACAGCCTTTTTACATAATGCGGAGGATTAACCACTTAGGTTCAACAATGAGTATTACAGGCATGCTTTACTGCATATACAGACTGATTTTAAAGTTGTGGGTTTAGTAACACTTTAATTTCACCTTGCCCATTTACTTTTTTGCCCATTAAGAGCTGGTTGGTTTCTATGTAGAAGTGAGCCTGATTTTGCACTCTCCAGCTTTAGTAAATAAACCCTAGAGTGCTGAAGAGAAGCAGCTACGAGACACTGGTCATATGGGAGCAAAGGA